CTGATAATATACTATCAACAAGAAATGAAATAAACAAATTCAATCTTAATATAAATAAATTCACGAGTATGCAGTTCATATAAATGTAACAACTAACAATAGTATTTTCATGGTACACTTAATTTTTATATAAATAAATTCATAAATATTAACTTTCACTAATGCACGAAATAAAATAAAACAAAATAATCGCAACTTAAATCACGAGCATTCATTTGATATAAATGTAACAAATAGGACAAGTAATTTCATTGTACACTTAATTTTAACATGAATAAATTCATAAATATTAAATTTCATTAATTCACGAATCAAATAAAAAAGATTAATCGTAACTTCGACCATAAGCATTCATTTAATATAAATGTAACAAATAAAATAAATAGTTTCATTCTACAAATAATTTTCATATAAATCCATTAATATTGAATTTCATTAAGGCACCAGTTAAAATAAAAAAAAGAATTCTAACTTAGATCATGAGTATTCATTTGATATGAATGTAAGAAATAACATTATGGATAATAGATTTGAAATAGATAGAAAAAGTTCTCGAAGATAGCCTTAACATACCGTTGGAGTACACTCAAGTACAAAATTTTCGCTTTTTTCCTCTTGGAAAAACGAAAAAATAGTGCTTGATAGTGTTGTTACAGGTGCCCATCTATAGTAGAAGCCATGGATCTGAAACTTTGTAGATATGCAATACTAAGTATGTTCAATAATTTGCCAAAGTATCATAAGCTTTGCTTTTGTTGAATGGGAGAACAATGAATTTTAAAATTTCCTCAGAACTTCTGGGAAACCCTTTATATAGAAGTATATATATGACTATACTACTGGCGGCGTTTTGATAAAAAGAGGAAGCAAACATGATTAAATTTTTTTTTTACCATGGTCCCTCCTTCCACATTTCGATGACAGTGTGAATACAGATTGTAAATTGAATGTGTTTCACACATTAAAATATTCTTTACTGCTTATAAAATTTCTCCTGTAACTGCATCGTTATTATATAAGTTTTCAGGATTTTGCTCTACTCTCTGGAAGAGATTGATTTCGTACAGAACCAAAACATTCCTTACAAAAGTATTAAGCAGAATGTAGATGTAATGTTTTGGAGTTGGTCTTCTTATCACCTACACCCACATTCTCAGGTGAAGAATCATCTCGTAACATCTGCTAGTAATCTTATGAAAAATTTCAGTTGGAAATAGATTAACTCGCTTTTTGCCCATAGTGAGATTATAGATCTTAGTAATCCAAGAAAAATCTAGTAGTTCTTTTAATGAAGAAGGTGAACTTTCACCAAAAAATTGTTGGACAAGTGTATTCATGCCATTGTATTCTCGAGCTCATCGATAGAACAATATTTTACCTCAACTCGAGACTTTTTGTACCGTACCGAGCTTTTTACTTTGACGGTTGATACATCGGTGCTCGTTTGAACTCTTTGACACTATCACTGTTCATTTTTCACATTTTCATCTTGTCTTTAATAAGATCTCTACACTACACTAGCACTGTAACAATATTTTTATAGACGACATCTCCGAACTACAAGTATTTCATTTGTATTCACCATTGTATTTTGCCACTGTGTTCTTATAAAAAGATTGCGGATAGCGCGCTTTTATAGACTCATTGTGAAGCAGAATTGTTATTTAATATTGAAATACGTAGCGAGAAAACTGAACTACCCTCCCTCTCTCTGTCTACTGCATAGACTAAGACAGATGCTTCGAGAAGATAATTGTGCTACAACAAATTGTAAAATACATTTCTTTTTAAACTAAGTAATGTAAAAATTGCAGAGATTTATTAATCAAACATATTTATGTTAATGGGAATTTTTGATCTTTATTTTTTTTATAAACGATCATTTACAACCTTATACCACAAACTTAAAACAGAATGTTACAAGAGAAAAAACTAGATTCAAAATGCAAAGTTAGAAAAATTATGTTCTTTTCTAATTTTCACAAGTTTTTAAAGACAACATTAACTATAACATCATTGTTTAAAGACATCATGAACGATCAAAACAATGTAAACCCATGTGAATTACTTGATTTATAAGATCATTTTAATACAATAATAATATATTCATTAATAACATTTTGTTTTAATAATATTTTGTAATACTGGCAATTAACATTATGTATTAATAATGAAAAATTACCATTGATTACAATATTAGAGATTCACAATCAAATTTACTTTGAAAGCATACCTATATACCTAGTTATATAACTCATGTTTATGATCTACTAAACTTTATAATGATTATGTATGAATATGATAATGCATGAGATTTGATTCAATTTTTATAGTTAATAATGTCTTTAAAAACTTGTGAAAATTAGAAAAGAACATAATTTTTCTAACTTTGCATTTTGAATCTAGTTCTTTCTCTTGTAACATTCTGTTTTAAGTTTGTGGTATAAGGTTGAAAATGATCGTTTATAAAAAAATAAAGATCGAAAATTCCCATTAACATAAATATGTTGAATTAATAAATCTCTGCATTTTTAACATTACTTAGTTTAAAAATTGAATCAAATCTCATGTATTATCATATGCATACAAAATACATTTCGATATGTTGCCCTTTCAGTTCCATCACACGTGGTAACATTGTGGCGAGGTATGTGACGGGGCGGCGTCTCGTTGATGACTAATGCAGCTTTTTCATGTTTCTAATTTTTATTACGTCGGAATTGCTCTGAAAACATATTTCACCGTGTTGTAGTGCTTGGAGAGCTCTAGGTAATCTAAAACAAAGCTTCCATTTTAGGGAACACAGTGAAGATCATCAGAATGCAAACGCCCTATCCATGCATCTACTATTGAATTTCGACATTGTGATCATTTGAAGAAATCGTGGGCAACATTTTTTTTCTACACATGTTTGTGCCAAGGGATACACCGATGTGACATTCTATCATCAGTATGTGACATCATCCTTACGCTATTTCACTCTTACTTCATATCATTCGTGTATGATATGATTCTTGTATGATGTCAACCTTGTATCCTTGCGTAATACTGTTCATAGTGTTCAATACTTCTTTGATACCTTTGTAATCATTGCGCTATTCATTGCATATATGCTCATTGTCCTCTTTTCACTCCGAGGGATTACCGCATCAAACAGATGCAAAGATAAATCGTTGAGAAGGAGAGAGAAGAGAACAGAAGAGAACAATGGAGAATATTCTCAATGGATATTGAGCAGTGTGAAGTATACAACATACTAGAGGTTACACATCGTTGCTGGATGGTATATATAGTTGGTGTAAAAGTCATATGGAGAGATGTAATGATATATAATGTGTGTTAATGTTGAGAGAGAAATAAAATCGTGTACAACCAGTAACGTAAGTGAGCTTAAAGAAATATTAAACAAGGCAACCTCTTAAAATACGTGATCCAACAACGCGGTCATCAATATTTCTGCATCATATTCTCCGCGTATTCTCAATTTTCCGTTACAATGTTTTTCACCATTCTGGAGCACTGGACAAGCCCCATCATTAATATGTGGAATAAAAAACTTTTCTATTTTTCTTTCTTTTTTCTCATCGGATATCTACTATATTGGCTTCATTCACTAAAGTTATACTCGGTCACTATTCGTGTTTCTGAAAAGCATATGTACGCAGATTCATCGCTGATTCGAATGTATCCTCGCTCTCAGTTTCCGTTATATCGAAAGAATGCGATCTGTTTTCTTGTCGCTGAAAACTATACAGCAGTATCGTATTCATTATTCCAACTCGATAAAGGATTTCAAGATAATAAAACGTCTATTATCATTTTATTCCACACGGGATATCCGCGCAGGAAGGATTTTGCACTAATCAATAGTGTAACACAGCGACAAGTATTCTTTTTCAATATTGATCATATCTTTTATTCGTTTTCACGTGACTTTGATCCTTATCTGACCGAACCAACCTTTCGGAAACGAGGTAAATGGAACTATCACTATATGATTAGATTCTGGTTCAAATTAATCTTCGAGTTGCCAGAACTAGAAGATATTGAATATTTAATACGTTTTGATGACGATTCAAGAATTCTGGACACTTGGCCCAATGTATTCGACATAATGAAGTCAAAAAATGCCGTTTACTTTGCAAATGAGGAAAGATATGAAAACGAAGGTGCGCTACCCGGAACCATGAATCTGAAAAATCTTACAATCAACTATCAACAATCAGCCAATGTACCTGCACAGGATCCGAGCAAATTGAAGCGTGCACTGAGTAAGGAAAAAGCATTGCTGACTTACTACAATAATTTTGAAGCAATGAAACTTTCTTTTTTCCGCAACAAGAATGTGCGATCGTGGATCGACCATGTCGATTCAAGTAATGGAATATTCAAGTATCGATGGGGTGATGCCGTTCTTCGTTATATCACCTTGGCTCTATTCGCAAAACCGAGCGAAGTACTTCACAGATCTGATTACAAATTTTTGTACTGTCATCCTTGTAAACATTTCCAAACGAGAATATAGAAACGAAGAAGTCTAGAAATGAAATATTTAGGGTGTGGGTGTGGGGTGTAGGTGCGGGTGCGGATATCGGTGTGCGTGTGGATGTGGGCGTGAGTGTGGATTAGGGGTGTATGTATGAGTATGGATGTTGTCTAATATTCACTCACACTCTGACTAAACTTTGCTATTTGGTACTTCACCAACAGCAATCTTCATAACTGATCTGGGTCAAAAATTGAAAATTATTTCATTAGCTACTGATTTTGACCCACTTCCATTTACTGCTAGCTGTATAGTGAGTATAACACAACTTATCCTCACGTACAAATCGAAGCATCACATCAAGCTGATATTACTCGATAAGTCCAAGCTATTCTTCGATATGATCCAACGCATATGAGACCAGCTTTTGATCCAAACATATATGAAATTTATCAGACGCCGCCGTCAAATGTCAACACTAATTTAATTTAACCTGGTATATTACGCATACCTTTGGCATCGCCTTCTCAGTTTGTTATGGGAAATACTATTGTGGCTCACTATCCTTTTACAAATCATACTATTTATGCACTGGATGTAACAGATTTTATTCTTCAGTCGATAACTACCTATTCTTCTTGGGCGATGGGTTTAGTTGCATTGCGAGTCAAACGTTTGAACGTAAATGACTATCACATTAGCCACGCGATGATCGTTGGATGAGTATGACAATGAATTGTATGCATTTTATGGATAGTAGACAATTTGTTAGTATATCCGATAGCAAGCGTGAAGCGATGGACTGAACATTCCTACATTTTATTTCAATGTAACATAAATAATCAATTCACGTTGAATAAGAATCTCTACTTTAACTGTAACGAAGGAATTGCTCAAGAGAATGGCATAATCACAATTTTACCTGATCTAGTTCAATTAGTACAGGTTATCTATGATATTCAAGTACAATCCTCGACTTTTCTAATCGACATATACAATCAGGATATACTACAAAATACTAATAGTGTTAACGTATCAATCAGTGGTAATCATATAGCAACGAATAGTTCTATACCTTTCCTCTAGATATGCAATAGTCGAAATATTTCTGCGCGTAATAACGCAATTGTTAACACTCAACAAACAATTCATACACATTATATATACAATACTGTCAATCCATGTCGCAAAAATTTGACTAACCTAATTGATTTGTCTCGGTAAGCTTTTAACTTATCATTTCCTCCCTCTGTCATGTTGACTGAACTTAATTAACGATCACTGAACTGAAGGTAGACATCAATATTATTATATCAAACGTAATTTGATTGATCAAACAAATAAAAACTTAATAAGCTCATATGGAAAGGATCAAGATTTGTATAAATAATAATAAATAACTATTCTGAACATTTGATAAAAGTAAAACTAAAAATATCTCTTTGATCTTATGTTTTTATTTATTGTTATCAGAACTTTTGAACAATCCTACGTATTTAGATAAATCATTTGGTGAAGAAATAATTAATGTTTCTAATATTTGAAAAATATGCCAATGAAAAAGATAAATCGTTTATCTTTATATTTTAGTATTCAAGTCAAGATTTAGTCATTGATACAATATCCTTTCATATATATATAAATTTTTCATTGGTAATTCTAAATAAGTTAGATAATCTAGACTTTGTAGCAACAGATTATGATATCGTTAATTAAAGAAAAATAATTTTCTTAGGCAAACGATCTAACCATGTTTTTCATTCGATGATGATCATTCGTGATTTGTCTTATGAAAAATCAGATCTGGTTTCGTTGAAACAATAATAAGAAAGTTGGTATCTTTATTCTTTTATAAACATTTGAGACATAACGACTAAAATGACTAGTAGTGTATTTGGGGAATGAATGACTGTTATCTGTACTGTCTCTACTATCTGTTTTTTGCTCAAATACATGTTCTTCTTTGTTAGAGCTTTGACATCAAGCGAACTGAAATTGTTCGACCTCGACCATTTTTGGTTGTGAAATAAATTAATAGTTCACCTTTATTGAAGATAAGAATATTTGTTTTACTATTTTATTATTATGATGGTGCGGTTTTTGAAGATAAATGTATAGATTAGGAAAGAATAAAAAAATATCAAAGATGCAACACAGATAATTATATTATATTTTCTATCATCAACAACAAAGGTGTAAGAAAAAAATGAATGTAAGACAAGGTACTTTGAGTTATTTTGTTAAATGTAACTTAATATTGAATTATTTAGATGACTTATTTTAGGCTCTCAAGCCATATATTATTTTTGATTGTTGTAATTACTACTTCTGCAAATGTTGGACTTCGAACTCAACAAGGAATCATCTATGGTCGACAAACTCAAAGTTCAATTGAATATCTAGGGTACTATGATATTATTAAGTTGAATAACTTTTTTTTTGTGATTGTTTCTTAGAATTCAATATGCAAAAGTAGTAAGATGGAAACCACCAATTGATCTTTCCGAAGAAATCTTTCCAAATGCTTCATTTCAAGCTACATCATTTGGTCCATGTTGTCCACAACCAAAAACTGATACCTACATTCCAAAACAAGATGAACAATGTCTCTATCTAAATATCTACAAACCAATAGTTCAGTCAAATGATTCATTATTACCAGTATTCATTTGGATTCATGGTGGTGCTCATAAAATAGGATGTTCATCACAGAGTATTCCATTGATATATAATGGTACTAATATGATTGCTCATTCACCACCAGATCAACCTGTGATTATCATTACAATCAATTATCGATTGGGTATATTAGCAGATATGTTTTTGAAAGAATTAATTGAAGAAGATCCAGAATGGCCTACAGCGGGTAATTATATGTATTTGGATATGTTATCTGCTTTGCGTTGGATAAATAAAAATATTCGTGATTATGGAGGTGATCCAAATAATGTTTCGTTGTTTGGTCAAAGTGCTGGAGGATTATCTGTTACTGATCTTGGTGCAGTTAAAGGATCAACTGGTCTTTATCGAACAGCAAT